CAGTGGAAAAATTAATATTCCCTATTAATTGATAGCCATCTCATTTTGCTCTGAATAGATGAGAAAGTAATTAATCATGTTTCTCCTATTTAGAATTAGTCCCTCCATAACCTTTGAAGAGGTTAATAATTTCCTTGAAGAAACCTGCAAGTTGTTTTTAATGTTAGCAACAATGAATTAGAACAATGATCCTCCAAACAAAAATTACAAACAAGCAAAAACAGATGAACCAAAATATTTAAAAATATTCACTAAAATGTCCATGCATTCTGAGGTATCCAGGTCATGGTTTTCCCAAAGGTGCTTTTTCAGAACAGTTGCCTCATGAAAAAGCACCTTTGGGATATTCACTGAAATGTTTTTATGATGGATGGATGGATTTAAATAGTTTGCATGGATATAAATGAGGAAATTCTATGTACAGTTTATGTATGTATTTCCTATGTACACACATAAACTTCTATATTCCATATGTTGTATAACATGTGAACATTTTTTTATAAATTGAGATCAACTGACCAGCAATATCAGCAAAAAGGTCAGGAGGAAAAAGATAAAAGTATAACGAAGTAATTGATTTATTTATGCTTATTTCAGAATTTTAGGGAAGTATTTACTGAAAGAGGTAGTAGTGTACAAATTTTCAGTCAAAAGGTTCATTTCAGATTTCAGTTTATGAACTTTAACTTTCTAGCACAATAGGTTAATAAAATATGTAGTACATGTGCTTTATTTATTTATGAAGTTTAAATCCCACCTTTATTTTTGTGCAGGGAGGCATACGTAATGCTCCCTCTCCTATTTTCTTCATAATAAAAGCCCTGTATAGTGGATTGGGCTAAGAGAGTTGCTGGTTTATAGTCATCCAACCAGCTTTCAAATTAAATTACCATGTGTATAAAATTCATAAATACAAATAAGCTAATGAATTTGAAAAGCCAGTAGTGTGGGAGTTAAGATACTGGATTAGAAAATTATCAGGCATGAATGCTCATTGGTTCCCCTTTGAACCAGTCATTTTCTCTGAAGCTAACTTCTTTCTTATTGTTTGTGTTGGGAAGGGAAGGGAATGCTCTCTATATCACTGAACTATTAAAGGGCAGGCAAGATGTAATCTTAGTTATCTAAGAGTGATTTGGAGAAGTAGAAAAGGGATGATTGCATCAAGAAAAGCAGAAGAGGAAATGTGCTGGTTCAAAGTGTCATTATGGCTTTAAGTTTCATAAAAATAGTACATTTTTATTAATTTATATCTAGCTAGAAGTTGAGAGAGTGGACAACTGGTGGTTGCTCAAAATGAAGTAGGAGGTACAATTGCAAAACTTAAAAAATATTTAACTACTACAGATAGTCCTTGCTTAACTACCCTAATTGGGACCAGCGACTCTGTTTTTAAGTGAAGTGGTTGCTAAGTGGGAAATCATGTGACCATGATTGTGCTTTTTGGCTGAAAAGAGAAAAGACTACTTCAGCTTTTGCTTGCCTTCTAACTGCTCCTCCACCCCTTAAAATGCTCAAGTGTCAATTTACTGTCTTACACATATTGAAAGCAGTCTGGGGCTGGGAGTTGTGGGCACATGCTACACAAAGCGTTTACTCTCTTGAAATCCTTTTCTTTTCAGTCTCTCCACTAGGAAAGGGGGTCAGGCAAAGAAGAAATGGCCTACAGAAATTGTCTGCTTCCCCGTCACAGAATGGAGAGATTGGAGGCAAAGAGATTTGAAGAAAGTAAGCTTTTTGCTCTTCTGAACATCAAGATAAACGTGATTCTGACAGCAGTAAAAAGAGTCAGGCAAAAAAGATACTGCCTACAGAAATCACATTCTTTCTTCCACCCCCCACCTTGCCCCTAAGGGGACAAAAGGAAGAGAAAGAGATATTTAAAGAGACTACCATAAGCTGCCCCACAGACTTTGAGATCATTTTCTGTGGTTAGAAGAGCAACAGCTTATTTTCTTTGTCTCTAATCTCTGCTCTACAAGGAGTGAGGGGGGGGGGACACATAGGATAGTGCACACTGAATAATGACTGAAATGGTGATCATTTGACTGAGAGATCCTGCAAAGTTTGCAAATGGTTATAAGTGGTCTATAAAAGTATTTTCTTCAGCAATGGCATGACTTCAAAGACTTGCTGAACATACATGATCAGTAAGTGAATACTAATTGTAATCATTGTAATCTGATAATTTGGGATTTATGTACTTTCTGAGATCCATGGAAAAGTTTTTTTTTTTCTTTAACGCAAATATAAGATGTAGATAATGCAAACAGAGCATGTTTTGCTCTTAATAAAATATGAAGTTTATTCCCATAGCCCCCAATCTAAAATTGCACTCATTCAATGATTGAAAAAAGGGTATATGTATTTGTCCAGTTTATACCTTGAGCTAGGGAATTGTGGGCTCTTTGTGTTTCTAGTGCATTGTTTACATATGCATTTCTTTCTTATGCTTTTTTAAATACTTTGACCACTAAAATGTGGTTCCATTGTTTCATTGTAAAGTGTAAAAGCAAAGAAAGCTTCAGAGGGTGAGCAAGCAAGTACCATCTGCATACAAGTTTTAACATATAGGGTATTACCTTACACTTAAATTGAGTTGGATTGTTTGTTCTGGCTCGGTTCTCTTATCCTTTTAGTATAAGATATTGTGTAATATTTTAAAGTTTATTGAAAAATGGATTGTTGGATGGGGTTTCTGCTTAGTAATTGACTAAAGAATAAACTGAAATTTTAGTACCTCTAAAGATTAAGAAAAGTTTTTTTGCTAGTTGCTATAAACTGAAATACTACCCTGATCAAATTTAGTAATTTGATGAAACCTAATTTTATTTGTTGGCTCAAGTCATTTGTCATATACCAAAAAGGTAATTCTATTTAACAGACTTCTCTTCTCTTCTCTTCTCTTCTCTTCTCTTCTCTTCTCTTCTCTTCCCTTCCCTTCCCTTCCCTTCCCTTCCCTTCCCTTCCCTTCCCTTCCCTTCCCTTCCCTTCCCTTTCTCCTTTCCCCTCCCTTCCTTCCTCCCCTTCCTTCCCCTCCCCTCCTCTCCTCTCCTTTTCTCTTGCAATTGGTCTAGAAGACAGCTTGTGGCATTTGTGGTACTGCTGATCATTTGTAAGCTGGAATTGCACAGTAAAGTTGGTCAAATTATGCAGATCTTTCGACATCTTTAATTTTAGAAACAAAAGGACCTCTTTTTAATCAGATATTAAGAATGGATCTCATATTTTTTCATGTCTTTTATGAAATTGGTGGCTGAATGGGAACTGAAAAATTATTAAGTGATCTGAATTAGGTTTCTTATTTTTGTAACTTCTAACAAGGTGTGACTTGTAAGAAACGTGTTTTGTGATTTCATTATGTAAAGGGCAGAAGTAAAGAAACCAAATATGTAAACTATCAAAGTAAATATTGTTTAAGTATCTTGTAGACAGAAGAAAAAAATCGATTACCATTTCAGTGAAATCTCAATGTAATGGACTAATTGAGAAGGAGGGGGTTTTTTTTCTCTTTTGCATCAAAATATCTGAAAACCTAGAAGAAACAACAAATTTGTCATGGAAACATATAATGTTTCTATTTCACATAATAGAGTTTGTCACAAACAAGAGGGTAGGATTAAGCTGCCATAACCTTAATTGTTCATTTTATGGAAGAAAAGGTATTCTATACATGTGGTATAGAATATGATGAAAGCGTAGTATGTTTTAAGTTGTAGAGAACTTATATATTGATATGCTGATGTTTCATAAAACCTGAGCACTTCATCCAAGAAAAAGTGAGGCTTTCAACTACATGTGGATCTAGCAGGATTAATATGATGATTATTATTGTCATTATTTACCTGTACTTTGAAAACAATATGCAAAGCTAAAGGGTTTTAGAATCTTAGAATCCGTGGATATGATTTTAGATAAATTGCAAAGAGAAAAAAAAAACAATTGTACTCTTGCCCTCTTCATGCTCATGTTCATATTCTGATACCGGTATTTATCATCCACCTCCTAAACCCATCCTTTTTATGAATGTGTATGTTGTTTAGAAAATTTGTTAAATGCTGAACTGATTTTACAGTCAACTTGTGTTTGTATATTATTCAATTTGTCTAGATACCTTCTGAACAATGTGTTGTTAGTGGAACTGAAATTCCAACAAGTTAGCCAGATTGCTTTTCCACTGCTATTTTCCCCCTAAAATTGAAAACATCAGTTTCCTGTCTGTCCAGTGCAAATTCTTGCATGTAATTTTAAACTGATCTTTTAGAGAGCTTCCAGAGTTGTGAACAAGAGCACCCTCTTACTTTTTACAAATATCTAGTTTAATACTGTAATAAATAATGGGAGAGAGCCTGTTTATAGTTTGTAATTTGGAAAACTAGTGTTTCCAAATTTGTTTAATGATAGGAAGTTGCCTACTAAGATACTAAGATGGAAACATTCCTAACAAATGATAGGATGTTCTGGAATTGAGTCACATTTAATCAGAAAAACAGTTTTTAAAGCATCCAATTTGTTAAGTATTAGATGTTTATCATGGAATTGATGCATATTTTGTAAGAGTAATTAAGTTTGACATGCATTGAATTTATTTGAAAGTGTATTGCAACCATGATTTTGGCCAGTAGCACTCTTTTCAGTAGAAGAGGTGCAGAATTTAGAAAATGCCACTGTTTCTAAATAGTTAAAATATCAAAAATAATTCTTTGAATCAGTTCAGAGATAGTCTGTTCAGAGTCAGTTCATTTCCAAAATAAATATTTGGGCTACTGGTATCACCAGCTGATATACTAACTATCAGTTGGTGTATCATTTTTATTCCTTGGCAAGTATAAATTATTTATCGGTGTATATAAATTACTGCTTTTATTTAATGTGTGTAAAAAAAAAACACCTAGAAACAAAAATAGAAAACCACCACTAGAAAGGCCAGAAGAGATACTGTTTGGGGAAGAAGTTAGCATTAAAGCTGTTTACCAAATCCTTGTTCCATTGTATTTCAGAACCATGGTGCTATGGAAAGGAATTTATTTTGTACTTGCACTATTTTTGGGAAGTTTTTTTGGAAGCATCTTCATGCTTGGTCCCCTACTGCCACTGATGTCTATTTCCCCAGCTTGGTATCGCTGGCTTACTGATCGTGTTGTGGCCACTTGGTTTACACTTCCAGTGGTAAGTTGCTTATGTCTGTAATTTATAAACTCCTCCCCACCCCACTCCCATGTCTCCAAAATAATATATTACTTGTGGCATGCCAGATAATATGCTTTAAAGCTGAGTGTAAAATGTTTAAACAAGATTAGTATACTAGCTTTGGATTGGTGAATAAATGCCAACTATGCTAGATAAAATGTTTGGACATTGGTTGCAGAATTACTTTTTCATCACTGTCATAACTGTGAATGATCACTGTGTGAGGCAGAGTCAGTCCAGGAGGAGATTAGAATCAACTGTATCCAAAGTCTTTGAAAGATCAAGGAGATATAATATGTAGGAAGAATGTGCAGTCCCCATCCTGTTTCTATTAGAAGTTATCAACAAACGCAAACAATGCTGTTGGGTCCCATACCCAGAAGTCAAACTAGACTGAAAGTGGTATAAATGGATCTTCCTTTTTTCAGGATTCTGGGAAGCTGTAGCATGACTACTTTCTCAGCAAGTTTCCTTAAAAAGGGAAATTAGAGCTGAAAATTGTCCAGCGTGGTCCAGAAATAGCTTCTTGAGCTTTCTTTAATTGTTGGTGGGGCCACCCACTCTTTCAAGTATAATCCCTCCTCCCAAGGCTCAATAACATATTGTCTCCCAGGAAGCCTTGACTAATTAGGAGAATCATAGCTCTAAAACTTAGGAGGCCAAGTTAATAGTTCCAAAAAGCCTGTTTACTTCATTAGGACTATCAGGATCAAATTCATCCCAGATAACCAGGTTATGGAAATTTGATTGGCTGTTGAGGAACTTAGTGCCAAAGGACTTAATAATATTAGCTCTTAAGCTATGCGAAGCTTTGATTCAATTATTCCTTTAAACTGATTGTTGATTCAATGCATTAAATTGGTTCCTTTGAATTATTCAACATTTCAGTGAACTTTTGCGCATGTATACTCTCACTTTTAATCTAATTGACTATTTGAATTGGCAATTTGTCTACTCCTAAGAAACAGAATATGAAATTTGCAAAATAGGGAAACATTGCCCATTTCTATTCTGAATGGGTTTGCTGTTTTTTGCAAAGTGTGTAATATTGCAGCCAGTACAAATGAAGAGGAGGGTTAGCTCATTCCTTTAACTGAAAATACCTAGAGCTTTCAGACTCCAGAGTTATATGTAAAACCTTTTCCCTCAAAAAGTATCTGTAGCAAGTGTGATTGTGGAGGACGGTTATGAAGGAAAAATGGCTCTTCTGGCTTTCATTATTTTCTAAAAATACTGTCAACAAATGATTTCAGAAATTTGTTGCTTTATTGAGTGCCAAGTAAGATAAGCAAACTAAAATCCCAGGGGTTTAAGTTAAAAACTTTTCCATGGTGAATCTGAGGGAGGAGCCCATATAGACCATTCCCCTACAAGTTGGGGCTCCTGATGGGTAGAACTGAAAAGTGAAGATACCCAACAAAACTGGGAAGTAGTGTAGGTGTAGGTAAGGCCCTCAGAATGTTACTAAATCACATCTTAAAGTAGTTCCACTCAAACAAAGAATGAAGCATACTAGGAATTGTAATTTAAATATAATAAGGAGAGCTGTTAGTCCTCCCCTCTTGCTTTTACATGTTGGGTAAGAAATACATTCCATTGGATTAAATTGTACTTTCCCCTAAAAAAGTATACATACCGTATTTGCTGGCGTATAAGACGACTGGGCGTATAAGACGACCCCCCCAACATTTCCACTCAAAATATAGAGTTTGTTATATACTCGCCGTATAAGACTACCCCTCTTCCACACACCTTCCACTTTTGCACTTTTTTTTTTTTTGACGCACTTTTCTGCTTTGGACAATTTTGAAATGAGCTAATCCAATTTTGAACCAAGAATATGCCAATAGCTATGGAGTTTAGAAATGAGTTTAAAAAATATTTTTCATTGCTTACCATTAAGCGTAAAATATGTTGTAAATAAAATGAGAACACAGGAAACGTTCTCTTCTCAATACAGCTGATCTCTCTCTCTCTCTCTCTCTCTCTCTCTCTCTCTCACACACACACACACACACACACACACACACCCCAAAAACCCGGACACTGAAAAGGCTGCCAAGGAACAGTATATTCAATGCCTTCTCTTTAATCAAGAAACAAGGAATTCCTTAGAATCTTTTTTTTTCCCCAAGTGGCCCTCTTTAAAAAAATATATGGAGGTAACACTTTCATTCAAAAAGTCTTCCAGTATCTGGAGTCGCTCAGACATATTGAAGTGAGGCAGGAGAGTAAGTGAAATTTGAAATGATCCAGCTACAGTTTTCTTCCCCTCCCGTCCGAAGGCCATTATCTCCACATCAAAACGAACGAGGGGAGGCAAAGAAGCCAAACACGCTAAAAAGGATCTCTTTATTTTCCTACACAAGGTCACACCTACTTTTCCGCATTCAAAGGACAACCTCTCCTCACCACCACCACACACACACACACCCCCCCCCAATACCCGCAAACAATGTTCTGGGCATTAATCACCATTGCTACATTAACCTGGTAAATTTATACCCTGCCTCCCCCACTGTTGCTTTGACGGCAGGATTTCACACAGCGGGGCGCTCGCTCGCTCTCTTCTCCGCTCTCCCACCGTTCGCACATGTTGGAAGCACCGTAAAACCTGATAACCCACCCGGGGGCTCCCCCATCCTTAACCTACAGCCGCCCGCATGCAAAACCTGCGTGCAAAAAGAAAAAAAGAAAAGTACGCCGCACGTGAGGATCTTCGAATCCTCTCCTCCCCACACCGCTAAGGAAGGAAGAGGGGGAAAGGTTGCGCAGCGCGTGGCGAGTGACACCCGCCACACACACACACACATACACACACACACCGCTCCCCCCCCAGCCTCCCTCCCGGCTGCAACTCAAGCTCGAAGTGGGAGTCGGAGTCCTCCCGGCGTATAAGACGACCCCCCCACTTGGAGGCATGTTTTTCAGGGCAAAAACGTCGTCTTATACGCCGGCAAATACGGTAGCTTCTGTGAGTTAGCCATTTTCTGCAAAGAAAAAATTGAAAATTAACTGGAAGAACATTGGACAGTAAAAGACAGTGGCTATTTCTTTGAAATAATTGTTACCCAGAATTTACTAAGAAGAGTATCAAAAAAGTTCAACCATTAAAAAAAGTTTTATTCTATTTTGGAATGGAAAATACAATGATACTTGATTTGTTATACATTGTCCATAAAATCCTAAACTACATTTATTTGTGTTTTCTTCATTTAGGTAATGTGCATTATTTTATTTGAGAAATTTGATAAATAGGATTTCTGCTAACATTACTTCAGTGAGCCTCAGTGGCTTACTGTCTGTTAGCCCCATCAAGTAGATTAGACCAAGAATCAACTCCACAGAAGGACTGAAACTCTTTTTATCGAATCTACTTGTATTTTATTATTACAATACAATCTATTTTATTCACTGTAATAATATAATGACAAGTCTAATTGTGCTATCCCTTCTCCCATTCTTATAATCATTTAATTAGGGAGGTTGTCTGTATAGGCCTCTTACACATTTTTTGGCTTATAGACTTAAAATAATGTTTTTATCTCTCATTGCTTTGATAAAAAGATCTTGCCTTTGTCTGGGTTACCTGGCTTATTCTATACTGTCAAGTCTCCTCTCTTCAGGATACTTACCCTTTGTCTGCTCAGACAATTTTACTCCCTAGATTTTAGTTTTATCCACACCTAAATCTTGTTTTCCTCTTTTTAAAACTAATCTAGATAAGTGGTTGGTCTATCTTCCACTTTTTAAAGTCACCAGGCAGATTTGTCAGTAGAAATCTTAAGTATTCATATTAAGCCAGGTTATACAAGCTTTTTGAGCCAGTTTGTTAAAGGCATCATGCTATATATCCTGAAACCTTGAGTTCTAGTCCTGTCTTGGGCACAAAGCCAACTGGGTGGCCTTGAGTCAGCCTCTTTACCTCTTTACCTAGGAATTAGGCAATGGCAAACCACTTCTGAAAATTTTTGCCAAGAAAACTGAAGGGACTTGTCTAGGCCATCTCTGAAAATCAGACATAATTGAATTAAATTTTTACAAAATGCAAGCAATAATCTTATAGTAAAACTTTTAATGTGTAAAAGGTAGCGGTTTTCCTTGCATATACGTGCTAGTTGTTCCCGACTCTAGGGGAGGATACTCATCTCTGTTTCAAAACCGAAGAGCCAGTGCTGTCCGAAGATGTTTCCATGGTCATATGGCTGGCATGACTAAATGCCGAAGGCGCACGGAATGCTGTTACCTTCCCACCAAAGTGGTCCCTATTTTTCTACTTGCATTTTTACATGCTTTCAAATTGCTAGGTTAGCAGAAGCTGGGACAAGTAACGGGAGCTACGGGATTCGAACCGCTGAACTGCCGACTTTTCTGATCAACAAGCTCAGCGTCTTAGCCACTGAGCCACCACATCCCCTATTTTAATTTTAATATTTTATTTTAACATGGAGATAAATCAGTGTTTGTAAAACAGCTTTATATAAACACAGACTCTTTTCTTCCTAAGTGTAGGATTTATTTGTCTCCCTAAGTAATAATAGCCTTTAGAAGACTCAACAATATGCAATTTTCTGTCATCTCCAAATGGATTCTAAATGTCTAATACATCAAATGTACATTAGATACTTCTGGATTCCATTATATTTGTTTATCTTGCTCTTGCCTAAAAGCCTGCAAAGTATTTAGCATATGTCCCACCCTACAATGTCACTAGCGTTCTCATCCTGTGCATTCTTTAATCCAAGCCAGAGGAAGTCTGATGTAGGAAAACCACAGAACTCCTAAGTAAGAGCCCCTGGAAGTCATAGACAACCCAGCAGCATGGCACAAAGCCACAGTGCCTGGGGACCTCAGCCACTCTGACCACATTGCATTCACAGTCTCCTGCCACCCTGTGTTTGTCACTGCAACTGACTTTTAATCTTCTTGCTCCAACTACTGATGAGGTGTGCCCACTCTGGCACTTCATAATGGAGCTGCTGGCCATGCAAGGCCATCTTCCCCAGGTCTTGCAAGGAAACCACTGTGTGTGACCTTGGGAAGAAAGCCTCTGAGAGCCAGCAGTTGCATTGAGAAAGACCATTTTGGTCAGATATGGTGTTGGGGGTCCGCAAAGTACAGGAAGGCGCAATGGCACAGATGGAGGGGTAAGATACATGGGAAGGGGACGATGAAGTGTTCTTGTGGCTGTAAATGCAGGGCATGCTGCCAAACATCTGAATTTTGATCACATGACAATAGGGGCACTGCAGTGACAGCATCTTTGTAGACCAGTTGCAAGTCCTTTTGTTCAGCAGCAATGTAACTTTGAACTGTTACTGAAGAAATGGTTGTAATTTGAAAATTGCCAGTATAAAAATATGGTGGCAAACTGCCGTATCATCAAAATATAACTTCCCATTTTCTTTTCAAAAGGAAAGCAAGAGAAAAAAAATGTTTTAAAATATCCAATACTTTCCAAAGCCTTTTACTGAGGTCTGCAAAGTAGTATCTCCCAGAATAGTCCTTGGTCATTGGCTGCCCAAACAATGCCTACTTAACTACCGTACTTTCTGGATTATGGCTCTGCCACAAGCACCAACTCAGTGCAGTGCAAAAAGGTTCATGTGAAAAAGATGTTCACGATTTTATAACTAAATATGTCTAATTTGAAACAGTATGTCTGTTTTCTGTTTCTTTTACAACATAACTAAAGTTGCTTTCAGACCATGTGGTGATTCAGTAAGACACGGTTTCAGTGTTTAGCAAGTAAGGATTGCCCCACAGTTCTCCAACATTTTCTTTCATCTTCTTCTGTGGTTGAACAATATGCCAACCCTCAAATTAAGCTAAGTTTCCACTGGAGTTTGAAGAAATACTGAAAATTATTGATTTACTCCTTTAGACTATAACTCCCATATGTATCAACAATCCCTTAAATAGAGATTGAAAAATTAACTTCTCCCACATTTCTGTCTACAAGTATCTTGTGTACTTATTGTTCCTTTCTTTTGTAGCCTAGAGCAGGATTAGGCAACCTTTTTGGCTAGTGGAGAGCTTTAGAATTTTAAAAACTTCTCTGGGTACTCTCACAAAGTGGTTGCCTTGGGAACAAATCCAGTTATAAAACATATATACCAAGGCAAATTGGTCTCTGTGATTATCTGTACCCCAGTTTAACTTTCTTTTTTGCTGGGCTCGATACTTGCTTGGTGTTCTAAAAAGATTTTTGGAGGCTTCTGGGAGGCCTATATTATAAAACAGAAACTTGAAATGGTTTACAAAAACTATAAAAACATCCCAAAAATTAAAGCAAAATACAACAGGTGTAAAAGAAGAATAAAATTAATTCATTATATAAACTTTCTTTTAAATGTGTATGAAAATACAGGAAGCATTTCAAGAACCTGTTTGAATATTTTTTTAATATATAAAATAAAAATAAAGTCAGATGGAGCCCTGTAAATACCAGGGAGACATCTGTGGATATTGTAGTCCTTGTTACATAAAATTCAAGTTCAGAACCGGATAAAACTTTTTTTTAATTGTTTAGATTTTATCCCATCCTTTTTTTATGAAGAACTAGGTAGCGAGCATACTTAATATTCCTCCTTCCTCTTATTTTCCCTACAACAATCTGGAGGTGAATAGGGCTGAGAGTCACTGTCCCAAAGTCACCCATCTGGTTTTTCATGCCTAAAACAGAACTAGAACTCACATCCTCTGAAGTAGAGTAACACTTTATTCAGATCAGTTATCTCCAGTGATACAGAATCCATACATAAAACTTTTGAAGTAAAAGTATTGACCAAAGCATTTGCTGATGTATTCGGTTCACCTTGCATAGTCATGCAGTTGCTATTATATTCATTTATGCAGTTATATTATTGTGAAAAGTTTTTTTTCAAATTCTTCAGGTTAATTATAATTTTTGAAAGAAAAAAAACTATATTTGTGGAGGTAAGCATAGACTAGTCGAAGGTTTTAGTGCAATGTAATGGATTTTTTTAAAAAAATTAATCAGTGTTAATATTTGCTTTGAGATATTTAGCTCATTTGTAGGATGGTCATATAATATTTTAGTTTTTTATCTAGGCCCTGCTGGAGATAGTGTTTGGGTCAAAAGTAGTCATAACAGGTGATGGATTCATCCCCGGAGAAAGAAGTGTCATAATCATGAATCATCGAACACGAATGGATTGGATGTTTTTATGGAGTTGTTTGCTGAGATATAGCTACCTCCGACTTGAAAAAATCTGCCTCAAATCTACTCTCAAAGCCATTCCGGGATTTGGTAGGTTATTGATTGATTTACTTATAATATTCTAAAATATGTTATTTTTGTTAACTGCCCTAAGGGCCTCTGGAGCCAAGGACTTCAAATTCTATTTTGTCTTGTCTTATAATTGGAAAGAACAGAACCCAAGTTAGATTACAAATAGGCAGTACTTTCAGATATGGCAAAGGTATCTACAACTACAATTTATATGGGGCAATTATCAAAACATTGCTTTTATTTTGTTTTATCTTTAATGTAATTTCACATCATGCCTAGCTTGTGTAATATATATATTGTTATCTTTTTCAAAACTAATAAGTAGAGCTGGTTGTTTTTAAATAGAATTACATTGTCCTGGGCTTGTTGGATGGTTTTTCCAGAGAATTAGCTGCTATTTGATGAAGAGAAGGTAGCACAATGAGTGTGGTGCCCAAGGAAAAGAGGCCAAAGAGTTCCTGGTTGATTGAAGATGTAACACAATGTGCCAATGACAATGTAATAGATTATGGTACCTTTAATGTGAAAACTAAAGGATGCCCTTTCCTAAAAATCCACAGCAATAGCTATAACAGCCCTCAAACAGGGTCACCAGCAACTCAAAGTGTTGTCAATGTGAAGAGGCACGTATGTGCCCAGCCACAGAACAAGTACCTGAGAGCTAAAGAATTTTCCCTCACCTATTGAGAGAAAGTAAAGAATGTCAACACTCAATAAATAATTAAGGCTAATTAAGGGAGAGAAGGGGTAAAAGGTTAATTGAACAAAGACAGAAATATAAGAAAAGAAACATAGGAGCAAAGATAAAGCAATTTGGAATGTGAGAATAGTATAGAAATACATGTTTATTAGGATAGAATAGATATGAAGATGGGTTGTGCAATAAAATCCTTGTAAATAGGAGTCTACATACTGTTCAAAGACTGAAGCAACACAGTTTATTTTGCAACAGTCCATTTATAGTTAAAGTGATTTCCCAACCAGGAATACCTTGTATTTTTGCTTGAATGTGTCATTATACTTGTACTTACCATTACCATCATATCCATAATTCTTCAGAGGGAGGTCTGTTGTTATAACGTGCAAGCCAGTATCTGAATAGGGTCAAAGATTTTGTATGTGTGTGTGTGTCCTGTGTCCCTTTAAACCTGGTATAAATAGCTTGTGGTTTGCTTTGTGGATTGTAGGTGATGACCTTTTAAAGTGAAAGTCTGATCAATAGTGTCATATGATGTCTTCCAGCAATTCTATCAGGAGCTGTCAGACTTAGAGTTACTTAGAGTTATTTATATTGTGAATTAGCTTTGAGTCCACATGCTGGAAAATGTTTCTTATAATGTTATCATTTTTACTGAATTGTTTATACCAGAAATATGGATATCGAAATCTTTTTTTTTTTTTTTTGCAATGTGAATTTTAATGCTGATTCAGATAAGGGGGAAGAGCATGAGTTTTATAGAAATGGGAAATAAGATAGTTTTGCAGTTATCTAATTTGATAATTAATCAAGTCTAAATCTCAATCCAGTTTTTTCAGTGAAATCTTTGTTAGAAAAAATAGCACCACTAGCAACTTCAATGGAACAAAACTCATTTAAATCACAATTTCATTTTAAGTATTTTGATAACATTTCTTCTGGTTTCCCTCTTGGTTGTTGCAATCCAGCATTGAAGTTTGACCTAGAACTGATTGCACAGTCACTTCCCCAAAAATTGTGTGTATGTGTAATTTTTGATTTTCAGAAATATTCATGAAACAAGCTTCTTTTGCCTCATCAACACTATAGTGCTACAAAACCTGATCTGTAGACCAATCTCTTACGTTTTATAACAACGTCCCCAGCCTCTGGTCCAGGCTGTGGCCCATTGGGAACCGGTCTGGGCAAGCGGTGTGCAAGTGTGTGAAGCTGCATTTGCACAAGTGGCATATGCACATGCGGAACCATCTCCTCCCCTTTCCCTCTCCTGCCAGAAATATCAAGTATCTGGCTGTTTTATAATAAAAAAAAACAATTGAAATTTGATGAAACACGAGATCATCTTGTAGTACCAATACATCCTGAGGGTACCAAATTGGAAAAAACTTTGCTCAGTTATTAGTAACAAGAGAAATGGTTAATGGTAAATAGTGCAGAAGTCTATTAATAAAAAACAGAATTTGGAAAGGGTTGATATGGTTCTGCTATTTTTTGCCATTTTTAAAACAATAATTAAAAGTATATATGTTAGTTCTATATTTAATATCTAATTCTCTAATGTGCTAACACACATGTATATTTCATAATGTTGAAGGGTTTAATGTTTAAACTCAGTTCAGAAGGAAAATGGAAGTAATGGCATGCATTTTTTGCAAACTTTGACAATTTGGTTAGACATCTGTTTCCTCTTAAAAATCATCCTTAAGGAACAAAATGTAGAATTTATACCAGTAGAAATATAAGTTTCTAATTAGCCCTTAACATCAGCAGAATGGGAAAGGGGGGTCGTTTTTTCCTGTACCCCCTTCAAAGTCTCCTTAAAAATAGATTATGAAACATTTTCTTAAAATAATTTATAAGAAGAAATTTCCATTCTTTGGGATCAAGCCATTGTTGCTGCAACATTTTATTGTATGAATGAAGATTTGATTTTAAAAAGAAACAGTTAACACAAGTCTTGCTTTTCCACAAGTTTTAACATATCTCAAAATCTTTGTTTTTAATATAATCATAGATACTATGATTTTTTTTTACTAATAAATATGTTGAGTTCTTATATTAAACCATCTTTGTATACTTTGGGAACCTAAATCACGTTCAGGCACCATCCAAATAAATAACTAATTCAGTGTTTAAAAAATTCTTCAAATTTGTTTTAGGTTGGGCCATGCAGGTTGCTGCCTTCATTTTCATTCAGAGGAAATGGGAAGAAGACAAACTTCATTTTGGAAATATGCTGGATTATTTTTGTGATATCCATGAACCACTGCAGCTTCTCATCTTTCCTGAAGGAACCGATCTCACAGGTACATCAGGGTTACTTAATTTAATGTTCCACATTCATTCTTAGAATGTGTTGGCAAGCAAAATAATGCTATATAATGTGAAGTAAAGAGTAGTTCTTTCCCATCTCTGTGCTTAGTAATGACTAGAATAAATAAGTAAAGTTAAATGTTTACTTTTGCTTGTATTAAATAAATAGCAAAAAAAATATTTTTGTAAATCTGATAATAGAATTAGTAGAATATTTATGACGAGGCATATCTAAGATCTTTTTGGCATGATTTTATATCATACTAAGTTGTTTTATGTATAATTTTCTGTTTTATATAGATTTAAAATGTTTAAAGTGAAAAAAAGTAACATTTTATCTTCAGTTTTTATTTTTTGTCTTATTTTATTAGTTTTTCAGACATTGTTAGTTGTTTTTCATACTTTTAAGGATGGTGATAATATTACTCCATTTAAGTATAGGAAAAGAAACATGAAACTTGTTTTGAAGAATTCTGTTGTTTGGTTTGATTTGGTTTTTAATGTTAATATACTGAATAGAGAAGATTGTACTTCCTCACAAGTCTTGACATGTATCATAGGTCTTTGCTACTGCTGTTTCTCATTATATTATTCTTTCTGGATGCATAATGTCCCAAACATTTCCTGTTCATAAAAAGCATACCAACAAAATTTAGTCTCTGAACTTAACCTAGAGCTTTCATTCCTCCTGTTGGATTTGCAAGAGGCAACCTGGTAGGCTGTTTGAAAGATTGGTTTTTTCATAAAAACAAACAAACAAACCACAATCTGTGCTTCTTGGTTAATGGAAATTAATATCTAAGTTTGTAAGATTTTCTCACGTACTGCTTATCGGTATGGAGTCCTAGATTCCTGCTTGCTGTGCTTCATTGCCTATTCATTCTTAATGAAAAGCAGAAATAATGTCTATTGAATATAACACTGGGGTCCTGGATCAGTAATCCTAGAAGACCTAATAGATAGATTCTAGGTCAGTGGTGGCTAACCTTTTTCATCTCCCGTGCCGAAAATTGTGTGTGCGCTTGTGTACCAGCACCCAGAAGGCAATGTGCATGCCCCCCACATGCCCGCACATGGTCCCTGCACATGCACATGTGACCCCTCCACACGCACTACATGTCTCTGCGCATGTGCGTGCGTCTTCCCTGCCCCGCCCCCCCCCCCACGCATGCACGCCAGATACCCGACAATCAGCTGTCAGGCAGGTGGCAGTGGGGCTCTTCCGGGCAACCTCTCGCATGCCGGCAGAAGTAGCTCTGCATGCCACTTCTGGCACGCATGCCATAGGTTTGCCATCACGGTTCTAGGTGTTGTTGCTGATTCAGCCTTTGGACTAGGTCCTGCAATTTTTGAAACCCTTTTGACCCAAGACATACCGTGACTGCAGCTCTCTCCTGACAGTTGTATTCTGTATTGTAAGAATTGGACTTTGGGAGTATAGCTTAACTATGTTTATGTAAGAAAGTGACAGAAGTATTTTGTAATGATTTTTATTGAAATAAATGCATTCTATTATAATGTCTTTGATTCTTTATTCTAGTGATGTTCTCTGTAATGCTGAAATTTAAGGCATTTTGTTTTTCCTACTACTTTTCTCTGTAGATGAAACTAAAGCCCGTAGTGATACATTTGCTGAAAAAAATGGACTTCAGAAGTATGAATATGTCTTGCACCCAAGAACTACAGGCTTCACTTTTATAGTGGATCGTTTAAGAGATGGTAATGCATGTTCAGATGCATTTTCTTCCTTTCTTTTCAAAATAATGTATTTTAGATAAGAAATGGTGGTGGTGGCTAATTACTTTGAACCATTGCTCTAAAATATCTTTTAAAAAGGTTTGTGTGTTTCAATAGATTTCCTTCCTTATTTATTCAGGGAAACTTTTTCCATGCTTAAAATAGGAAGTAATTTGATCACTTCCAATTAAATTGCCAGCATTGTGTCATATTAAATTGCTTCCATTTTCTAGGTGAATTTTGCATTCTGAAGTAAGGAAATACATACAATTAAGTTTGGTATTGAGGCAAAATATACTTTTGTAGGTTTTGCTGCAGTTTTCTGCCCTATCAGATTGTTATAATGTCAAAACAGTATTACTAAAATTATCCACAACATAAAGTAAGAATTCAAATCATTTATAGCCTCTTTGGTGAAGTGAGCTATAAAAGCAACTTAATGTCAAGTTTCCGACTAACGATCCCAGGCAAATCAGAACTCTGAGGCTACTCATTTCCTCAAAAAACTTCTTTATTAGGGACATCATATTGGCATGCTTAGTGGAAAACTAATTCTGAATCTTTCCCTTGGTTTTAACATAATTAAAGCTAGGAATAACCCCTTCTCCAAGTGTCACTGGTCATGTTGGCCAATTAGGTTAATCCTCAGGCACTATTCTCCTCCTCCCATTGCCTGGGAGATGACCTTGGTTCCCACAAGAAAGATCTATGTTGTGTCTAGCAAGGCTTTCCAACCTGCACCTCCTTCCTGTAGTGTGTGACAATGATGAACTAGGAAAATGGCTTCTGCCAGGTTTAGTTTGGCGTTGACACTTACAGTAACTGGTCATTTATGTTTTCTAGATTATTGGCAACTATGTGCTAGATGAAGATTGAATCAATTTTGATGATGCCCCAGAATGCTTTGTCCGTTTTGCCATGAACTTGCAATACTCTGACAGAAGGCATTAGTGTTTCCCTATTTCTGTTGGTAATGGGAAAAAGACTCAGCAATCATTAAGACATAGCGGGAAGCATTGTTGCTAGTACTAGCAAGGAACTAGTGATCTCAAAGAGAATTGAGGAGAAATAGAGTCTTGCAGTCTGGGAGGAAGATTCAAAGGTGGAACCTTTTTTTTAGGTCAAGGACTTCACTTAAATTTAATTGATACAATTTCCCATATGGCAAATGCTTTTCATGTTTTGTCAGATTAAATATTGGGAGTCATGCTGTAGCTATTTAAAATGTATTTAATCTCTTCCAAATCTTCGCAATCCAGTGGACATCATTTCACCATCATGTGTCAGTGACTGTTATTTGACTTCTTAAAGGTTCATAACTTGCATAAATTTGTGCAAGCTTTTTTTAAGTACAGTGTAGGCATTATGTATTCTGTTAGCCTCTTTTCCAATGATCTTTGGTGTTTCTAAATGTTTTAAAACACTTCTCTAGTATCTGTGTCTTCTTATGATGTATTCAAAATATCTTACTATTTTGCTTCATTATAAGTTCTTAAAATGAGCAGTCTTCGTCTAGGATTGAATTAATCATTTTTTTCATTCATTTTTATTGGACTATTTTTAATCAATGTACTCCAGCATCACAGTTTAAAGATATAAGTTTGTTTTCATTTAGTTTTCATAGCCATGTCTAGTTCTAACATAGTTTTTCTCCCGGTTAAGAGATGCCTTTTTATATCATTATTATAGTGAAAATTTAAGCCTAAAGTCTTTACTACTGCAGGTTCTTCTCTGCTATTTACATTGGGATTGTGTGTTGACATAATCTTAAAGTCTGTTTTTTTTAATACAGAGCAGCAGGCTGGCCTTGTAATCTCTTTCACCTTCAACAAGAAATTCCTTAAGTCTTCTTCATTTCTAGCCATCTAGCCATCTAAGCATTATTACCAGAATGTCTGAGATTGACACTTCATCAAATACATTTAGTTCCAGTTGTTATTCCTTCTAGTCATCATTTCCCATAGTGCATTCTGCCTATAAGTTACCGTATTTGCCGGCGTATAAGACGACTTTTTTGCCCCGAAAAACATGCCTCCAAGTGGGGGGGTCGTCTTATACGCCGGTATATCCACTGCCGGCTTTCGGATGCTTGTTGGACGCAGCGAAGGCGCCTCTGGCTTCCCGGATCCCCTGCGTCGCTTCCGCTTCATCCCGCTCGCCTCGCTCCGCCCGAGGCTGCAGCCTGCCTGCTCTTCCCACGGCCCCTGGCACTCCGCCCTGCCGCTGCAGCCCCGGGGATTTTTGGAGGGCGTTTCTGGTGGTGGTGGGGGGTCGTCTTATACGCCGGGTCGTCTTATACGCCGGCAAATACGGTAGGTAAATTGGGTGACAGTATATGGAACCTTAATGTACATGTTGTCCTCTTTTTGAGTTATTTAAATGATATGTATACAATTCCAACCATTATTTCCTGATTGTCATACACATTTTTCTATAGGCAGATAGGGTGGGAAGTGTTTAAGTGTAATCCTGTTTATTTATTTGAACTTGGGTCTGCCTGACTGTGAACTCTGGATGGATTTCAATGTAATAAACCAATACAAAACAAGTTGTGGCTACAGTTGCTTGGTAGAAAAATAGAGCCAAGGCAAAGACCTTACTGTGTTTACAGAGTAAAAAAATATTAGTATATTTAATGCAGCAAAAATGTATGTATTTTGGAAGTTGACTTGCTTTTCCATTATTCATCATATGTTAGCAATGAGATCATGAATGCCTTTTCCTCTTCTGAATCAGAGCCCTTATGGGAAGATAGTTGATTCATATTCTCTTTTCCCAAAGTGTCTTGAGTACATTTTTATTACATGAAGTTTATTGAGGTATCTGCTGCATGCAAGACAGTACAACTAATCAAGTTTTTGTTTACATATATGAATATCCTCTCTTTCCTGAAATGTATGATGTAGCTAAAATTCTGGTTAGTATCATTACATGGCATAAACTTCCACTTGTTTCAGTGGGATAATGTCAGTTTATTTATTAAGGAACATGTCTGCACTGGATCTTCTCTATCTAAGCTACATAAAGAAATGATGTTCACTATAGCTCTATGAAATGGAAAAGTTTCAATGGAGACAGTTTTCCATGTATTATCTTCTGCTCTTTCAAAAAGGAAAATGAATGGAAAATCAGTCAAGCAGATGTTGGAATGGTAGCCATCATGTCACTACTGATTGAATGAGAATTTTTAATATTTAGGTTATTATCATGAAACTTTTAATATCATGGCAGATCCCATGTACAAGAATGATAACCTTAAGTGTCTCATGGTTTTCTGTGAATAAAGTTTAGCTCATGAGAGTTTTCCGATCCTCGGGCTGATGTCCATTCTCTTCAGGAATATATGTGCATTATGTTACTTCAAAAATAGTTCTGTACAGAAGGGGGAAAATGTCATGTGGGGAGAAATAAATATCTCTAAATGGACAGATTGTATGCAAGGAAATTAAGGTTATAAATTACTATGCATATGAGAGTATTCTAGGATGGAATTGGAAGTGACCAATTCAGTATTCTAAAAGACCAAATGGACAAGTGCTTTTTATATGCAAAAAAAAAGTAAAGTTGAAAGGTACAAGGAAAAACTGTACCTTCATCCAATGAGAAATGGGCAATTTGTGCTGTGCCTATTAATGATAATACTGGTATCTCCTTCAGCTCCAATAATGATTGTTGAATCTGTTTTACCTGTCGCCTCTACTAACTAGATGTGGTATCATTATTCCATAATGTCATCAAAAGTTTAATTCCTTAAAACTTCTCAAAAATTAATTTTATTTGTCAAGAGCTATATTTAATTTGTATTATAATATGTTGTTCGGCCTAATTACCCGTTGTGCTAGAAATGACTCTATTACATGAACCATTAAAATGCTGAGGAAGTATTTGAATATGAGAATCAATTTGTGAAAAAATTATATTTGTTGTGCCGCAGGCTAGCAAAAACCTAAATGTTCCCTAAGTTAAAATATGATACTTTACTTCCTAATGCTTAATCTATAGGTAGTCCTCCAATTATAGCTACAATTAGGACTTGAATCTTGGTCATTGACCCAAGTGTCATTAGGTGAAATATCATGCAACTGCTTACCTTACAACCGCAGTTCTAGCATTCCAAATTGTGGACATTAAGTGATCTTGCAGGTTGCTAAGTGACAGAATTCCAGATAAGGAGTACAGGATGCCTTAGGAGAATGGGGAAGACCAAATACAGACCATATATGAGTATCTCTCCACTCAGGAGTGGAAAATGGTTCCTGCCATAAGCCAAACGGGATTTTTAGTCCCAGAGGGAAGAGACATTCACAGCTTACACTAGGTCTCCCGGGGCCTCCCCCATTCCCCTGAGTGTCTGTGGAGATTCTCAATAACCCAGACCACTCAGAGTCCCACTCAGAGTGGAAATGACTGGATGACTGCCAAGAATATAAATCCTTCCACTCCCCACCAGTTAGTTAGAACTGAAAAAGCTTCTTAGATGAGAAGCAAAAAGTTTTCAAAGGAAAAAACCAAGAAAATCCAGTTGCCTTTTGAGGAAAAGAAAAGCATCTTTAGGACATTCCCCTGAGGTATCCTGTGTTCCTTACCTTACTAAACTGTCTCTCTGTTCGGGCTGAAAATCCTGCTTGTCTCTGGGGACTGGTTGAAACAACTGCTTGCCAAAGGATTTTAACACCCTGTATGCTTGGATTTTGGCAGTCCAAATAGATTCAGCAAATCACACCAATTTCGGCAATCTAAGCAGGATTCAGCAAATCCAATCAGCTTTGACATTTCAAGGTAGGTAAGAAGCTAAAATCCTTTAACAGGCAATTCTTTAACTCTGAGATTGGCTGAAAGAGCTGCCAGCTGAAGAATTTCAATTCCATTCCTGCTTTGATTTTGGCAGTCAAACCAATTTTGACAATTGGATTCAGCCATTTTTGCAATCAAAGCAGCATGAACTTAAAATTCTCAACAGATAGCTCTTTTACTCTGGGACC